CCAGATCCCACTGAAGTCACCAATGCGATAAGTGCTGGGGGGCCCTTGAGCAAAGTGGGATCTCTGCACTTATACAACCCTTCTTGCTAGATGGCAAGCTCTGGCCTGAGAGTCTAGCCAGTGGCACTGTGCCTCCTGGGGTAGTTCTCCTGTAGGGTGCAAAGAGTACACTGGCCAGGACCCAAACCACAAAGGGCTTTGGAAATTAAGACTAATTTTAATTCTATTATGAAATGAGCAGGGTGCCAGTGGAGTTCACCGAGTAGACGGGATTGCTGCTTTAAGTCCCGGGTAGAGCAAATGTCAATAATCTAATCTGGAGGGGATGAAAAGCTTACCCAAACATAGCAGGGCCAGGCCTCTGCCCCGCAGGGTTTACACTCTCACTTGGGAGCAATACAAGCAATTAAGAAGTAGGTGTGAGGGCACAAAAGCAGCCCAGAAAGGGCAATGGTAAGGAAACAACATGAGCTTTAATGGGGATTTGAAGGAGAACTAGGTTACTTAAGCAATGTTTTGTGCATTAGAAAAGCACAGGGAATGTAAAGGTTTGATGTGCGATATACCTTAATCTGTCCTAACAGTCCCGTTCTCCTTTAACAACCTGCATTTTATGGGAACAGATGCAGACTGCAATCCGACTGTGGGACAGTTGGCTTTTAGCTGCTATGTACCAGGCCCCTACCTGAACGTGCCACAGCTAGACTGTTCAGTCATTTAAAATACACCCTGATCACCATCATTAGTTTTGACGTGCTGACACAGGATGACACACTTGCTGAAACAGTCTCGGTATGATACAGGAACAAAGCTGGATAAATATTTGAAATAACACACAATTTTAGAGCCATCTTCTAGGGAACAGACTCATCAGCTGCACTGGTCTGCAGAATCGGTTCAGCAGAGATCCCTTCCCGAGTGTGACACTGAAAAAGATGTTCTGTAACAAATTTCCCAAAAAACCCAGAGATTTCTGTTTTAATGTACAGGCAAATATACATGGGTTTACTTTACTTGTAGGAAACAGAGGCCAAAGCAATGTCACATCAGTGGTATCAGTTATGGCAGACAACAACATTTCTCTTGACTTAGTTATGGGTGAGTAAATTTACTGGAACAAATGGGTTAATATTAACTAATTGGGAACAGAAAGATTTTTTTTTTTCCCCAATTAACTCCAAGCAAAAAAGTGATAAAAATCACCAAGCAATAATCCTGCCAACATCATACTTCTCTGAGCACTAAAGGGTAACTTAAATTAAAAGCACTGACATGTCAAACGCTTAATAATTTGCTATAATTAAAGCAACAATGAGTCCACTTCTAATTTTGCACTGACGTACAACAACAGTGACTGCATGCAAGTCAGTGGTTGGGCACTGGTAGAAAAATAAGCTAAAGCAAGAAACCTTAATCAAACCTAGCGTCTTTAATCTTCTGCCCGGATAAACATGGGCAAATCTAAAGCTGGCTTTTACTACTTTGCACGCACAGGGAGCAGGAATAAGGGTGACTAAAGTACAACCATGCTGTCATTTTGAAAGCTTCACCTTGGGTGCTTCTACGTGTGCAATTAAAGTGACGCAATATACTCCAGAGCAATTTGAGCCAGAGTAACCGTTCCCAGGGGCAGCATCTACACGTCTGCCCAAGACAGCAGCAATTTGCGCCAGGCCAGAGCAGCCCCAGGCTGGCAAGGGTCAGCCCTGGGTTCTGGGTGATGGCACTGGGTGACAGAGGGGCTGACAGGGGCACGACGGTCAGACACGAGTCTGGCCCCTTGCTGACTGGGTGCAATTTGCAGCTATGGTCACCATCTACATGTGCGTTTCATCACATGTAATTACTCCATCAAAAAATAACACTGTCCCCAACAGTACTATCTTATGGCAGAGTTAATTTGTTTACTGTGCCCTAGTACTAGCACATGCGTAGCCAGTGATGCTCTACTGGGCACATCTACATGAGATGCTATGTTGCCATAGCAACAAGCTATGGCAACATTGCTCATTGCTATGGCGATATAGCATCAGCGAGCACGAACCATGATGCTGCCGGTACTGTGCAGTAGAGACCCTGTTACCAGACCTGCATTGCAAAACTCAGCAGCGGGTGCATCTATACGAGACATTTAATGTGCAGAAGACAGTCTACTGCACATCAGCATGGCGGGCAAAGCCTGTGCTAATGCACCAATGCACAGTAGATTTAGTCTAGTGCGCGGTAGCATCACAAAAAAAACGTTCATCTGTGCTAACGCGCAGCAGCGCTGATTACGGTACATTCAGTTAGTACCTGCAATGACAGATACTAAACTTAATGCACTGTAATTACAGCACATTAATGAACATGTAGACGTGCCCATTGAATATGACCTAGATCTCAAGGTACTATGGGAATTTGTGACCTTCTGGCCCTGGGGTAAGGGTTGAACCAAAGGAGCCCTACTCAAGTGGACTCGTGATTACATTTTCATAGACTTAACCAAGTCAGCAACCTCCAGCTGCAGGTGGAAATACATAGACCAGTTTTCAATCTGTGGTCCCCAGACCCTAGGGGTTGGCAGATTATGTCTAAGGAGTCCACGAAAGATGACTATGATCAATCAAAAGTATGTGAATATGCACATCTACAATTCAAAGGGGCCCGCACCTCCATTCATAACTTTTGTAGGGGTCTGCAAATGAAAAAAAGGTTGAAAACCACTGACCTAGAGCAATTTCCCCAGATTCAAGAAAGGACCCAGAAAATGGGAGCATGATACGTTTCAGAAACATCATGGGAACTTGGAATCTTGACTTCGTGAATACTGATGCTCTTGCAAATTGCTGAGAAGTGCGGCTACGCCTACAATGAGTGACATTGTGGTTCTCACAGACCATTCAGCAGAGAGGCCCAGGGGATTAGCAATGGACAGTGGCAAAACGAACGTCTCCTAGTGATGGAGCCTCTAATAAACCCTCCACAGGGAGCAGGAGAAGGAACGCATCATTTGTATTTGCACACCTGCTCAGAAGGACCCGCCTGTAAGAGGGGCTGGTGCTTGGTGGGGTAGGACCATCGCTCCTTCTCCCTGCACAAACCACTCCAACTCCACTGCCATTACCTAACGCTCCTGTGCAAGACAGCTGTTATTTGTCCCTAAGCGTTATGGGAACCTGCCTGCAGCGTCCTGTTACCTGATCATATGCAAAAAGGTCTGTGCTGCAGATGTCTGCAAACTACAGGCTACATTCTAAGTCTGTGCCTAAAGATGCTGGTCAAAGTCATGCAAGCACAAGCAAAGGGGTCAGCTTCCTCCAGGAGAGCACTTATGCTAGTACTCTTCTTCCTGTAGAAAAGACCAAAATTGTGGTTTCTTCAGTCCCAACCCCCTGGACTGCCGTTACTTTTGTGACTAAAATGACCTCGTATGCTTTGAACGTGTGCAAAACACCTATGCCCAAAATCCAAAGAATCTTTCCGTGTCACAAGCGCATGCAAGAGGCAGGTGAAAACCTAAAAGTGTGAAACGTCAAAACGTAAATGCCGCCCTTTGTTTTGACGCCGACTGCCAGTCACACATGGGGAACAAGCCCCAGGGGGCTTTAGAGACAAAGGAAAAAATATTTAAGAAGGGCGCTGCTTGAGACGGCAGCTTTGTGTGCGAGCTCTTGGAGGAGTTTCAGAAGGAATAAATACAAGGGCACTGAGTCAAGGTGAGATGAGTAGCATGTAACCAGGAAAAACCTGCCAATAAAGGCACTCCCTTTAGAACAAAATGTTTTGTCCTGCTGCTTTATCAGGAAATCAATTTACAATTGCTACTTATTACCCTGTACAAAAAAACGACAGCAGGGAGGAGACACGTTAATTCAGAGAGAGGAGGAGTAAGCCTAAACCTGTCATTCTGATTTATTAAAAGGCTACATGTTTCCTGGCTTCGCTTTACAGATGTTGGTCATACATTTAGGTATTTTCTTGTCTCCCACTATCATTTCAAACAGGTGGCACAACTTTCTGCTGCATCCAACAAAATACTTCTGCATCAGCTACCGGATCCCTTGCGGTAGCCTGATCTGCTTGATGACCTTCTCGTGGCCTGATGATCTTTGATGACCTTTCTCATGGAGAAGTATGGGTAGCTGAGGACAGCTCTGTTTTTCCCCTTTCTTTTACAAAGGCCAAATCTTACTGTGCTTGATTTCTGGGCTAGTTGTGCCAAAGCGCAGCGCTCAATTAGCTCTGGCCCCATTCAGCTCCGTTTGAAAACCAAAGCTTACAGAAACACGGATGTGTCAGTGAAGTCATTTTTGGGGGATTTGCTCTATGTGCTTATTGTGACCAGTGGAGGAAAAATCTGCCCCTGGCAGCTACAGCCTCACATAAATGCTTCCCACTTCAGGGATTTCACTGGGACAATTTCTTTTCTGTTCAGTCATATACAGAAAGTGCTAACAAAGATGAGGCTCAAACCCCAGTCACCTAAACAAATGGCTGTGTGCGCCCTGGCGTGGTGCATGCTGGTGTATAACTATGTGCTGAACGACACGGCTGGGACGTGACCGAGTACTTGCTGCTGCAGCTTCCATGCGGCATCTAGTGGGCAGGACTGAAAGGGCACTCACTAGTTCTCTTTGTGACCTTGCCCTTCCCTCACTCTGTCCATTCTCTGATGTTCATTCACCAATTTGTTGCCTGCTTTTAGCTTCCCTGTCCTTATAGTCATGGACAGGCACGAGAGCCTTAGCACGAAGTATGTGCCACTTCCTATCGCATCTTGCAACTTGGTCCTGGGTGAAGCCTACACCTACCACCGCACTCCATGTCCAGTTCTTCTTTCTGGTTTTCTCTTCTATTGCAAGTATACAGAACCCCAGCACAGAGGTTTAATGTGGAGTATTTCTATTGGCATGACAGGTCAGTTTGTTTTCTTCATAAACCCTGAACACATCACTTGGCATTAGGCTTTACTAAATGCTCATGTTATTTCGCGGGACAAAGAGAGGCAGAAGGCTTACCTCTTTGTGGGAATCCTTATGTGCCTCCAGTGTTTTCATGATGGTCAGTTCGGCGTAGTTTTTAAACCTTGCTGGCTGATTCCTTAATATCTCCCGCAATACTCTTAAGGCCAGGGCTCTTATCGAATGCTGAACCAAAAAGAAAGACAAGTGGGAAAGGAAGTTGCTTAACCTGAGGAGCCTTGTTTGAGAGAAATTCTGCAGGCAGCTGCGCCAATGAGTATTTGGGGGCTGGACCGGACGATCTGTAAGGTGCCTTCCAGCCCCTAACAACTACGAAACACTTTCTGCTGATTTCTATTTTCTCTGACTCTACTGGCATTGGCAACTGAGCGCAGAATTGGTTCACAGCTTCACAGTGTGATGGTTCAGACAGACCAGTTGCATTCACACTGTTGGAGAAGGCAATCAGAACAAGGTGAACATTTGTTCGGGTCCACTAGCTTACTGGAAAAGAGCACACGTGTATTGCGAAGGACTTTCAAAAATGCTCAGAGTACCTTTGTTATGATTTTTGTTTACAGGAGCTCATTAAATTTGATCCTCAGCTCCATCCTTAATATGGCAACCCAAAGACACGTTTCAAATACTGAACCAATAAACCTCCTTTTTGATTTCTCTTTAGTGCTTATGGAAATCGCTTGGATGGCTCCGTGCCTTCAGTTAATGTAGCCAGAGCTCAGGCTATGCATAACCCCTTTTATATCAAAAGTTCATTATCAAAAGGAATATTGGAACAACTGCTGAAATTACAGAACTGCTCTAACCAGGTTATGGGCTTCCAGCCGCTTTAAACCACAACTGTAACTTCAGCAGACAGGTATGCAGTTTGGCTAACTCCAAACCGAACCTTTTAAAGTACATCCTGATTATTTGCTTTCACCAATGTGATTTACATGCTAGCCCAATTTATTTCGCTCTCACACTGGTCTTCCTATCTTCTGAAACATCTCTGAGATTATGTGCTTACGCTACAAGCAGCTGACGCTTGAATTGCAAACAATGACTGGCAAAAGGTCTACCACAAACTTAAAATATAATTTTGAAGCAGGCCAATTTTATAAATGGGGAACAGATTTGGGAGGACTTGGCATGTTTTATTATTGATCATAACCAGCGCACAAATGATACTGGGCTAGATTTGGAAATGCCCCAATAACTATACAATTACTTGCACATGGCATTCAGGTCATGTAGATGATTGTGGATTTGATCTGTAGGTAAAAACCAGTCCATACAAGTGATCTAGACAATGGATGTAAATCCCTGTAAACAGAAAACTGTCTCATGGCATGGACAGATGTAAAGCTGAAGGCTTGGCCTTTACATTATATTTTTGCTCAGATATCATCTAATAAAAACCTCTGGAAGCAAGTGCTATGTATACACAAATCCTCATGTATACCACTGCAATCTAATGCCCTGCCCATTGTTTTCCTTTGTCAGTTCTAACAGGGTTCATCAAGAATGTTCTGAGTTTTTTTGTTGGGAGATGCCAATTTGTCAGAAACCAAAAAAAAAAACAAAAAAACAAAAACAAACAAAAAAAAAAACAAAAAAAAAAACAAAAAACAAAAAACAAAAAAAAAACCACTTTTCACTTTTGAGACAAATGTTCTCACTGGGAACTGTTTTCAGGTGCAGGAGGGAATGTCTTGTCATGAGTGAGCACCATCCTCAAATTGCCAATAGCACCAACCGCCCATGGAATTAGTCTTGCCCTCCCTGTTAGGAGAGAGGGAGACAC